TTCGAACTCGACTTGAGTAGCGTGCACCTCTTGAACCTCTTCCTCCTTGGCATCTTCATTGTAAAGCGGTACTAGGAGTTGGTGAGTCCTTACCGTAATGAACTATTCTGTCTCAGGAGGCTGCGCCAGAAACCCTATCATTCTTTCTCTTAAAAATTTATGTATGGTTGAGGTTATATATCGAGATTTTGGATCTTTTCTAATTGTTATGATAATTCAAGTTGTGTATTTAAAAAAGGGCTCAAACTAGATACAATATATCTAAATTTCTTGTATGAACTAATATAATTACTTTTATTATTGATTTTACAAACTATTCGTCGATATCTTCATAGTTTGTATGTAAATTTTATTATGACTTATAATCATGATTTGTGTGTCTTGAAATTATATGTATATGTATTGTGTTATTTTCTATGAAAATATTTTTGTGGATCAGTATGTTTTCCTCTTCCTTTCACCTTTGGATAATTTTTATTTGAATTCTCAAGTATACACATCCCCGGTGTATTTTTTCTTTTGCTAATAACAAAAAAGGGGAGAGAGGTGAAATTTTGAAATATTTCATGAGTGTTTGTTCTTTGTAAAAGTTTTGCAAATTAATTTCATGATTGATTTTTAAATTTGACAATGTTTTGAACACTCGATGCTTTGTTTCAGGGCGAATTTTTCGTATCATATATCTTCTACATGAAATATGTTTTGTGCTTATTTTATACTGAATATGTATCTCACCATATTTTATATTCTGTATTTTAAAATTTTGAGTTTTGTTATTATCAAAGGGGTAGATTGTTAGAACATTGTTCGTACGAGATTGTTGGAATGTTGTTCGTACAATATCCCTTGTTTGAATAAAAACGAACTCTCATTTAATACTGATATGTTTTACGAGGTGATATACTTCAGGAATAAATAGGCATGAGGAAGATGCGGTTCGAAATGATACAAAAATCAACACGAACATCGATTTCGTTCTTTGAACCATTGAGGGTCAAGAGGCAACTATCAATGGTCAACCATCTAATCGATGGTTAAAGGAGCCAATCAGAGAGAAAGAGTTGGCACCATCGATGGTCTACAGTGACCCATTGACGGTCATAGGGAACCATCGATGGTTACAAGATACAATTAAAGAATCTAGAAATTAGAATTAGCATCACCAATGGCTATAGTGGAACCATCAATGATCACTAAGGGACCATCAATGGTCGTGATCTACCAAGGGGCTGTCGATGGTCATGATTCACCATCAATGGTTATGATAAAATTTGGCAGTTTTTAAAATTTAATCACAACTATTCATCGATCTATTTGATCTCCTATTTGCACTCAAAGTTGGGTATCACTTTCATGTCGTATGAAGGTCTATTTAAGGGGAGATGTAGATCATAGTTAATAATGAAGTCCAAGGAGGCAAATACATAAAAATGATAGATCTTTCTTCTAGGGTTTGAGAGAGAGTTGATCAAATCCTCCGAGTCTCGTTCAGCTTCTTCTTGGCGCGCTTTTCATCAAAGTTTATTTTAGCGTGAATGAGTGCCCTATACTTACAATGCTACACTGCTTCTTCACGGATTTTCATCTTTATATTTTCATCGATTTGAAGAATGGTTTGATAAAGGGTTGTATGATTATTCTTTTAATTAATTGTATTTTGAATTTGTGTGTTCAACGGCGTACTCAAGACGGAGTAATTAAGGGTTTAGCTATGCAGGACTAGGTTTTTTATGGTCATTGTGAAGAATTAGTCTTTAGATGACTGGTCTCAATAGATTCCAGGGTGCGGTCTTTAAAGTTTACTGAATCGGGTTGTGTACTAGGTAAACTCTGGTCATAGTGAGGAAGACCCTTCACAATAAGGAAAAGTGGACGTAGGATTTTGATCCAGACCACTATAAAATCTCCTGTGTTTCTGTGTTGATCTGCTTATTATTTTTTGCTTAATCTATTTTCGCTGTATTTTTTGTGTATTGTCGAAAAACTCTATCCAGGCTTCCGGTCTCTACATGATTAATGAATGCCTTTTAGAAACTCAAATTTCTTTGTTAATGATTTAAACTAATCTGGAGTATCAAGTTGTGTTTAGTTTTTCGGGTTATCCATATTTGTTGGCATTAGGGGTGTCCAAAAAGCCCGGAGCCCGGGCCCGGCCCGGTGCCCGGCCCGGGCCCGGCCCGGTCGTGCCCGGGCCCGGGCCCGGCCTGGGCCCGGAAACCCGGGCAAAACCCGGGTCCGGGCCCGGGCCCGGGCCGGCCCGGGCCCGGAACAGTAAAATTTTTTAATTTTTTTTTATTTTTTTTATTTTCTTATATATAAAATATATGTATATGTATATATATTGTGTATATAATATATATACACAATATATATATATATATATATATATATATATTACATATATAAGACCGGAACAGTAAAATTTTTTAATTTTTTTTTTATTTTTTTTATTTTCTTATATATAAAATATATGTATATGTATATATATTGTGTATATAATATATATACACAATATATATATATATATATATATATATATATTACATATATAAGA